TGACGGTGATGAATAACTAGTTAAAATCATATGCCACATGCGAAAATCAATCGATTGCAAGAAAATAGACATGCGAGTTTTCCAAAAATCAAATGATATATTTTTAAATAAAGGAGGTCGGTGATTGAATATCCTTCCGCAACATTACGATTCAAAAAATTAGCCATGGATCGAAATTCAAAAGCTTTTAAAAACTTATTTTATGAATACGGCTCTGATACCACTTGAAAGTGCTCAGATGACACTAGAAAGTGCTTCTGAAATCACTTAAAAGTTTGTTAGGGATGTTAAGCCCTCATGAACTGGCCCAAGGCTAACAAAGAACATAGGTGAATTGGATAACTTTAAAACCAAAGATAAAATTCAAACCAAAATCACCACAGAAATCAAAGTGCGGAAGAAAATAATGTGGAAGAAATAATATTTTATTAGGCCTTCAAGACCTTTTATAAGAAAGATTCATCGATAAAATTATTCAGCCGCATGGGCTCCGGCGAGCATGTTATAGGTATACACGTTACGTCTAGGGATCCTGCGCGGGTTAATAAGCGAATTCAAGTTTGAACCTGATCCTTCTAGATGGATCAATGAGACTCGATATGATTTGAACCATCAAACAAATATATGGTTGTGGCGACCACTATATTTTTCTTAATACATTCATATTATGCATTCAAGGTATATAACAATGAGAATTCACTAATAAAGGCACACTATGATGAACCTGATCCTTTCGACAAATTGATAGAGTTGACAGGATTAATCAAAAAATGGAAAAAATCCTAAACACCTCGATGATGGCCGCGTTGAATAGAAAATCTCAACCGGAGGATCCATTCTAAATATTTCAAAATGCCATCCCAAATACCCATGAAATCCAAACTTCCAAAAATCTCAATTCCAAAAATTTAAAGTTGAAATTCAATAAATCAAGCACTTAAAGAAAAATCCATCTACCATCTGCAATAGTTTGCCGGGGTGGACAAGTTGAAAATTATTTTAGCTCACACAGAGCTAATGCCTAGTTAAAAATATCACTATGATCTATTCTCAAATAATCTCTTGCCAATAAGGATGTGGTATGTGTCCTCTGACCAATGATTTTACCGCCAAATGGCACAACATGATAAATGATTATGACCAAGGGCCCCCTGAACCAAGTGGTTTTGCTATAAAATGGTACCATGAGATACCAATTATGGCCAGAGCCAACATATCCCTTAGTGGTATCAAATTCTTGAGATATGAATCAATAGAATACAGTCGATAGGGCATAAAGCTCTCTGTTAGCTAAGGTGGATTCAAATTTGTCCCCTTAGACAAATATTCACCCTAGATCTACAAAGACCCCTTGGACGAAGCAACAAATCGTTGCTGACAAAGATCATTCTATCAGGTTGGGTCAACTATCATCTCTAACTAAGCATACCAGGGACCATGATGGTCTAGAATGACGAAACCATGGGATCTTGATCATGTCCATCCTCTATTCCCACACCATCCGCTTTAAGTATACGATGGTAAAATTTTAAAATTTAAATATTAATCCTTCAAATCCCAACCCATGTTGTTACTATATGCTAGATACACGTATCTCCTACGTATCGGATCGATGATTAGCCTTAATTGAAAGTTCTCTTTCATTATAAGGAGGGGTAATTAACTATAGGGGCTTGCGCCTATAGGAAACCAGAACTCATATCATAAAGGCCTAACAAAACGAGGGAGAAATCTCTGGGTAGTATCTTATCTACAAACTCATCTGCCTTCCAAAATTTATCCCAGAACTTAAATCCGTTAAAACTCCCTCACCTAAAAAAAGCAACATGGGCGGAGGCCGGGGATGAATTTTCGGAGCCAACAGCTTCTTTTACTTAAAAGCTTTCATAATCTTCCCCATTTTAATAACTGACATTTTCAGCGGCAACTTTATCCCAAAATTATTCACCAGGCATATAGAAATCTAGAGGTGGCTTATATAAGTTTAAGTGATGGCTCCCATCAAGTAGCACTTTGTCCCATATATGATTCAAGAGGTGACTACGATGGCATAACACTTTGTATTGTGTGGCACTTAGTTCCCATCTTCTCACCGATGTATTACTCTAATACCATTTATAACAGCTCAAACTCTTAACTATTGAGATATTGTCCGCTTTGGCCAAAGGGCCTCACAATTTTGTCCAGTTGGTGTAACTTCTCATGAGGTCACCAATCCCAGCATTTTTAGGGGATGAGAATATTTTTAACTGCGGAGTTTCTTATTGAAATTCCAACAATTACACCAAAATGCATCTCAATGTTTAAGAGTTCAGTTTCTTTTACTTAATGAGTTTCACATTTTTTATTCAAGAGATTATTGTATTAAAAAATAATTTTAGAAAGCAATAAAAAAGTCGCCTCAAATGAAGCCTAAATAAAACAAAATGTGACTAACATTAATTAAAAAGGCAAGGGCTATAATGCAAGCTTGAATACATCAATTTGGCCAAAGAAGCGTACAAATAGAGGGAAAATAACCTTCGCAAAGAGGAAGATCTTGTTAGTTGTCGTCATCGGTACTTCCGATCGAACAAATGAAACGCGACGAGGTGTGATTTCATATCTGAAAGAAAGAAATTTCATCTAAGGAGGTAAAGAAGTTATTTAACGACTCATTCAAAACTCTGCCTAACTACTTGTCACATGAAGGAGGTGAAGCTGAAGAGCAACAAACAATGGAGACGGGAAAAACAAACCTAGCAAATCTACTGCTTTGATTTTGCTCTCCCTCTCTCTCAAGCTTTGCCTACTAGCCAACGAGCCTTTTAATTTTGAAGTGTTACAAAATGGATGAGCATTTAATGGAGAGATGAAATTATTAAAATAAAATAATATTTTCAGTAATATTTCAATAAATGATAAAAAATTAAAAATAAATATATGCCAACATAAAATAAGTCAAATAAATTTATTAAATAATCAAACCTTACAATAACTTAAGGAATTAATGAGGGCAAAAAAAAAAGGTAGAAAGAGATTTAATGAAATTTTTGGGCAAAAAATATTAGGAAAGAGGAATTTCAAATCTTACAATAAGAATGGATCTCATGGATTGATGAGGTGTAGTAGGGATCTAATTAAATTTTTTTTTTTTAAATAAAGGCATTTAATAGATGGGTTTCCTAACATAAAATCCCTGAGAGATTTGAATTTTTTGTATGGTAGTAAGTTGATTAATTAACTTAATTAAACTCCAAAAGGTTAATTAAAACACTTAATAATTAGTTAATACAACTCAAGCTTGAGCATGATAAACTCAGCTCATGAGCAAGTTATTAGGTCGAGCTCGAGTAAGCTCACAAGCCGGCAAGACTTGTTTGCACACCTAATCACAGCGGCTTGCAGTAGACTAATTAAATTCTCGGTAAAACCCATTACATAGCTTAAATAAATCAGTTAAATTGGCAGCTTATGCTTCAAATTAGAATTAAATGGTTCCAGAATTAATAGAGAACCAGTTCCTCCCACTGATCTAATAATTTCAGCTCTCCTCGTATTCCTGTGAATTTTCACAGAAAATCTACATCATCCACCAGAATCGTTTATACTAGTTAAAAATACACAAAAAAGAGAAGGCATTAAACCGTTATGAGACCATGTGAAGAAAAATACATAAAGAGCCCTAAAAAGTAACATTTAAGAAATCTCAAGCAAGGTGTAATTGAATTTTGTCATGGAGGGTTACCACCAGATCATGGGCATCATCCAAGAGCCTCCAAACATCCAGTTTCCCTGCCACACTATTGCACTCCCTCATGATCTCATCCATGCTGCTGTACCTCTCTATGATTAGTTTCCTCCTCTGCAGCACAAAGGCAGCAATGGCATAGAGCAAAAGGTCATCCGTAGGTGGTGCTTGCAGCCTCATTCTACCCCACGCTGACCTCCCAATCCCTGCTCGTATTGCTGCCTGGTCGGCCCACATCACTTCCCACAGGCAAAGAGTCTGCTCCAATGTCAGCTCTCTCCTAAACAGAACCAATACCAACCTGTACGCAAAGAAGCAGTCTTCAGCCTGGAGCTGCTCAAGATGGTGGTAAAGATGTGCGTCCTTGGAACGGATTATCCGAGACACAATAGCCAGCTGCCTCCTGATGCCAAGCTCATCAAGCCGAAAGTTATGCCGTGCCTTCTTCATGAAACCAACGAAACACCAAAAGGCTTCACAATCGTCTTCTATCACTGTTAATATTGGTGACAGGAGATCACTCATCCCCTGACAGTAGCCTATTTCTGGGTCATATATTGCATATGCCTCGAGCGCAGCAACTAGACGAGAAGCATGGTATATCATGCATGGCTCCAGGTGATCAAAATCTTTCAACCCAACAGCTTTGGCATATCGCTTTGCAGCCACCTCAGATATGCCAGCTTGTGTTGGGGAATAGATAACCCACTCAGGATCAGCTCTGATCGCATCGAGTCGGACAATTCGCTGCCATGTTCTAAAGTCTTCGATTGTCCGATTGGAATTATCGATTTTGAGGGAAGCACTATTGGTTAGTTTGGAATAAGATTCTCCAGTTCCAAGTATTTCAACTGAGTGATCAGAATCAGATGAGTCTGTTCCGGCAAGGAAAACATCTAAATGAGTGATCACACTATGGCCATCTTCCCCTCCCAAATTACTGTTAGCGTCTGGACTCCTGTCATATACTGGTCCATCTTCATTGCCACTCCATAAAGAAAGAGAGAACGCTGATGTTCCATATTCAGAGATTTTTGGAGAATATGGATCCTCGATAAGATCAAGCCACGCTTCACTATATATCTTGTCTAAGGTCAGCAATGAGTTCCCCTGATTGGAAAAGTTTGAGATCTTACGGCATCTTATCCTCAGGTTCTCATATTCTATCCTGTATGGCAGTTAAAAAAAAAAGACAAAAAGTCATGGTTCAACTCTACCCTAATGGAAAAATAAACAGACACTTGTAATTCCTAATTGCCAAAATAAACTAATCTATCACACTATATAAATCACTTGAGTGCAATTAATGCTACACTTCATGTACTGCGCTACACTTAATGTACTCAAGAAAAAAAAAATAAAAAAAACCAGTTCAAGTACCTCTTCCGCACTTTAACTGCATTCCTTTCCATCTCTGAGCTGTTTAGATCATATCTGTAAAACCAAAGCAACAGAGTTCAGAAGCATAATCTTATTGGCAACTTGATTAAGTTGTAACATAGACAATGAAGAAATAACAAGATGCTGTCATAGCAGCATTTTTCTTGAAGTTGAAGGTGAGCATTGATAAACAAATATATAGGATTGTTCAGCATTCCATCCAAACATAGCGTGTAACGACTACAGAAATTTCAAGAGTTTAGGATAAGAAGGAACTGATTATATGATTTCATTCTGTTATAATTGATTAATTCTATGAACTATATAATAAAGCCTTTATATAAGCATACCATTGCTCGCATATTAGGAAAATAATCACAAATATGGAATATAATAATGCTGGCAACATAAGAAGTCAAATATTAAAAAATCGTTTTAAAAGAAAATAATGCTTAGGTCACACAAATTTAAATTACTGGGCAATGTCATTAATTTTACATTGGGATGATTTGTTTGACTTTAGATGCGTTTAGTGAGGCAAACCATCCAAGATAAGTAATTTTACTAATCTTATTCTGCAAACCTAATATCATTTGTAGCCTTACTAAGCTTTTCTCTTGATATAACAAACATTAATTTTCTTTCCCTTTGCATTAGTTTTTTAATAGTTGTAATCATGTTTTGTCTCACATTTTACGACTACAACGCAATGTATCTTAAGATGCGTCTGGCATTATATTTTCAAGATTTTTCATGTCGCTTTATTTGTGTTTTATAATGTCCATCCATCATGTTGCCTCCATAAACTTCGTAAATTTCTACCAAAAGATTTATTTAGACTTGATTCAAGTTTAGCCAAGTCCTACACATTACAACAGCATATCTCACAGTCAGTCACAGAGACGTTGGAACATTAGAATAGTGCGAATATAGGACACAGAGGTTTGTTAGCATATAATAGTTGGAGTACAAGAAAGGTTAGCCAGTAGATATTTTTTTCAAAATGACATGCAGTATCTTTTATGATGCTCAATTCTTTCAGATTGTTTCAACATTTTATTCAATTTTTGCAAGAATGTCAGTGATATAGTGCAGACAACAAATCAAAAGACCATTACACAGACAAGAATAAGGCAACTCTTTAGCTAATCTTAGCTCGCACTAAATTAAGTTGAAATGTTATCGTACATTGTGGAGTCACCGGTAATTCAACATGCCAAGTACCTTAAAAGAAGAAACAAATAACTAAATTTTCTCCAATGTTTTCCATGTCTTTGGAAAGCTTTACTCTATCATACGCAGCAAAACGGTGAACGTATTAGTAATTGCCGTAAAAAAAGCCATGTGCTCAAACACTAGTGATGTTAGAAGAAATTTAGGATAACTAGGCAACCAAAACTTGTTCTGGACATTTTTTTTGTTGTGCTTGTTGAGTGTATGTATGCTAAACTATCTTTGCACATAAAATAAATTTTCAGACACTTCGTATATCACAATTTTAAGATTTATAGTATTGAAGGACATTTATCTGCTGTGTACTGGGGTCAATTCCATCTTCATGCTTCATGATTGAAAAGTCAGCAATGCCATAACGAATTTATCATTTTTCGTCAAAATAAACATGTTTCTTTAGTCTATCATTTTGAAGTCCTTCAATTTGGCATCGCTCAACACAATATATGCAAGCCTTAGACCACTATTGTACATGGTGGACTTTCAGGTCACTTGTCGCACATCATATGACTTGATATTAGAAATCTTAGGATCTAGGAAATCATGATGCAGATCAAATTTGAAATATTTGAATTTATGCATGCAGATTCAAGTTCCCAATCCATAAACCCTTAAATTAGACAACTTTTAACACAAAAGATAATTTATTAGACAATCTATTAGAAATAAAGAACAGAAATCAAGAGGCTTGGAAAATCATAGGCTAAATTGAAAATCATGTAAATAATCATGTCGCAATAAAAAATCAGATTATACCAACTTTGATAAACTCAATCACATATACATACCAATAACAAGAAATTAGATATTATTAAAACAATGGTGAGAGATCATCAAAAAGTGACATAAAGAGTCCCATGACTGTATGAGGATATAACTTCCCCTAAAAATTTTCAATCTCCACTTGCACTAGGAGAGTTTAGAAGAAATAACATCTAATAAAAATTTTATAAATCTAAGCAGAAAGTAGAATGTTTTGCACATGCCTCTAAGCTCCATATTCATAAATAGAAAGCCTCCCTAAGTTATAATTTAAATAATCAAAGGATAAGCCGACAATCTTATCCGGAAGCTGAGAGAATCATAAGAATGACACAACTGCTAATATCCAATAACAGAAGCTATAACATCAATAGAAACCTTGATGGTGAACCATCATGATTTAATAATAAACTGCTAAAGACCAAATCCTACGAGTCGAATGCACATAAAAGAAGCATGCAAGAAACAAAAGCTGGTAATTGAAAGTCTAATAACAAAAGTATTCCAAACAACTACATACTTACTATGAAGATGTCCTACGGCTAAAACTAGTTCAACAAAATAGAGACGTGACGACCCAAACAGAAAAACCTCTAAAGCAGTCAAACAAAGATGCTCCAAGGATGAACCAAGAAACAAGAAAAATCATAAAATACAACCCATTCTCTTAAGAAACATCATAGACATGTTTACCGCTACTAAAATTAAAAGTTATAAAACTAATATTCTACTAATAAGACTATTTTTTGTACATGGTGAGTGCCAAGGCACAAATTTGATACAGGAGGGAATGAAACCCAAGACAATAGTAACAACTTCAAATATCTTTACCAATTAAGCAAGCTCATACCACAAAAAACAATAAGCCAAGATTTAAAATTGTACAATCGGGTTATAAGACATTTTCTTTTCATGAGGCAAGACATAAGCCTCTAGGAATTTTAAAGCGTAACAAACAAATTAAACTAGTAAAGTAATTAAAAATATGAAAAATAAAGCATTTGAAAGTAATCCTCTCTATTACTCGATACAAAGTAACAAGAAGTTCAAGATAACAAGAAGTCTAGAATAAGCAAATAAACAAGTTCTGCAATAAATTAGTATGGTTTAGGACTCCAAAATTTAAAAATTTATCCCTCCCATCCATTAGAGGGTCTTTGTTAGAATCATCACCATAGTTGATTGCTTTTTCGTATCCCTCATGCTCACTTGAATCAATATTCTCCTATTCTTCTTCAATCATATTCCTCTTCCCTAATAAATATAATCCAATAAAAGTATTAAATAAAATAAAAACTATAGTAGCCCTTAAGAATTTCTATTATATAAAATTATATACTGATCTTTTTCTATTACTTTCCTGTAAACTTTTATTATTATTGTTCCTTCCTCCATAAAAAAAGCATTGGGATAATCCTTTAAAGTTAATAATGCAACATGGGCTTCGGGATGCTATCGTGCACACCTCATTAAATGTGTCTTAAGGCGCACCTCAAATAATTAAAGCATACGCCTCTTTCTCCCATTATGAGATGTAAGCCTCAAGGCACTTTGCAAGAGTCTTGCATTAGTGCATGTGGGCTCCTTTCTGCGCCATCGGTCTCTTTTGCTTATTTGTTTTTGACGACGACAGAGAGTTTTAACGAGGTTCCAGGTAAATTTTCAGAAGGCATATTAGGTTTTAGATAAGACACTACCCAGAGATTTTTCCATCATTTTATGACTTTTTTATTTGAGTTTTGGTACATATAGGCGCAAGTCCCTATAGTTAATTATCCCAACCTGACAGAAGGTATCTTATCGGCAACCATAGGTTGCTTCATCCAGGAATCTTTTCCAATCTTCCAAAAATTCGACTAAGTCAAATATTTTTGAGAAAATTTTGGTAGTCTCCTGGAGTCCCCTCCCCGGCATCAGGAAGTAAGGAGGGTACTTGCCCTTTCAAATCCACCCAACCGGAGAGATAGTCAACGACCGAGGGCTTCAGGATCGGGTCAGGTAATTGGTCTTCAGAAGCTTTAATTGATGAAGATTCGTCTTAGATCGAGTGGTTGCGGATGATTGTCGACGATTGTCAATTGTCAATGCACAATTGAAGATCCCTTTTCCCTTTCTTTTTTTTTATTACATTAATTGGTTAAATGAACTTTAATTGAAATTAAATTTTGGTTTAATGTTTGTTCAATTTAATTAATTCCAAGTTAAACCAGTTAATTGCATGTTTCTCAAATCTTTCAAAAATTTGGCTAAGTCCAGAATTTTCAAATAAATTTCGGCAGCCTCCCGACATCCCCTCCCCGATACCGGAAGGTAAGAAAGGCATTTGCCCTTTTAGCTCGACTCGGCAGTAGTGAATCAACAACGAGGAGATTAGGAAAGCGATTGAGTCTTCAAGTCTTCAATCCCTTGGCCGGATCAGCTCGCGGCCAAGGGCTTTGGGGGACCGTATCAACCCCGAGACTTCCTTCAAATCATACTGCTGTCGTACCCATTGAAAATCCTCTCACCTCTCTTTTCTTTCTTTTTTTATATTATATAATTATATATTATATTAAAATAATATATATATATATATATATATAATAGAGAAGTTTAGGGCCGGAGCGGAAGGCGGGCGTCAGAGACTGACGTCGGGTTGGAGTTGCGACAGGAGACAAGCGTTGGGTTGGCGGTTGGAGGGAGTTCGGCCGAAGTAGGTGCTAGCCGGCGGCACGGGTGCAGGTCGGGTCGGCTAGGGCATGGTGGGTTTGACTGTTGGAGCAGATGGAGGCCGATAGGATCAGGAGGAAAGGTACGACCGAGAGCACAACTATCTTCTGAAATCCTTCCTTTTCTGTGTACCTGTGAGAGCGAATGAGAGGGGCCTTCAGTTTTGTGTTGCGAGTGCTGGTGGTTAGCGATCGTTGGACATGGTTGTGTGCGATCGTGGGGATCATGGTCGGTCGGTCGTTTTGTCCGATTCGTTGTTACAGTCAACAGGGCATGCCTCAAAGTGCTCAATTTTAAGTAATGCAATAAATTATTAAAATAAAACATTTCTAAAATTTCTCAATTAATTCATCCTAAAACACACATCTTATGTTTTTTATGGCTATAAACTTTGAGGTTTGCATCATGCTTAGATATTTTAAATTGCACATAAATATACCTGATATTTTATTTAGAATAATGTAATTAATTGTCATAAATATATCATACAGATTGAGATGAAAGCTGAGTAGTCAGTGACATAATTATTAGCTTTATGCCATCTATTCATCATAAGATGTTTGAACCATGCTCATGCTCTTTGAGTGATGCTACATGAGGTGACACTCTATCCTACGGATCTTTACTATTTCTAATTATATTATCCTTATTCCTTACTAAAGCACTTTTTTATTAATCCTTTATTAGTTATTAATTTATAGACATTATACAACATCTTTTGGATTACTCAAATAACATGAGCATAGGTTACATCATGATACTAATGTTTCTCAATATCAATTTGGATTCATGTCGGGTAGGTCTACTATAGAAGCTATACATTTATTGAGAGGTTTGATGCAGAAGTATAGAGAGAATAAGGAGGATCTTCATATGATATTTATTGATTTAGAGAAAGCATATGATAAAGTTACGAGAGAAGTTCTATAAAGAGTTCTAGAAAAAAAAAGGGTAAATAATGTTTATATTCAAGATATTAAGGATATATATGCGGGAGTTGTTACTTGTGTTCAAACACAAGGTGGTTTGACCAAGTATATTCCTATTTCTATTGGATTACATCAAGGATTAGCCTTAAACACATATATTTTTTCTTTAATCATAGATGTTCTCACTAGACATTTACAAGAGAATGTACCCTGGTGTATGGTTTTTGTTGATGATATTCTTCTTGTTAATAAGACTAGAGAGGGAGCTATAGGTAAACTTCAATTGTGGAGATCGACCTTAGAGTCTAAAGGTTTTCATTTGAATATATCTAGAACTGAATATATGGAGTGTAATTTTAGTAGTAATAGATTTAATGGAGAGATTGGACTTTGGGAGATTAAGTCATTAATAATAGTACACATTTTTGATATATTGGGTCTATTGTTCAGATTGATGGTGAAATAGATGGGGATATAATTAGCAAAATTCAAGTTGGATTGTTGAAGTGGAGAAATGCAACAAGCTTGTTGGTGATAGAGAAGCCCCCCTCAAACTAAAGAGAAAATTCTATATGATGGTGATGAAACCTCCAATGCTTTATGGTGCAGAATGTTTTCCATAAAAGAGAAACATAATATTAAACTGTTGCAGAGATGACGATGCTCAGATGGATGGGTGTCTTTACTCTTAGATACAGAATACGAAATGAGCATATATGTGAAAAGGTTGGAGTAGTTCCAGTGGAAGATAAGATTAGAGAGAGTCGCATTAGATGGTTTGGTCATATAAAACGGCGGCCTTCCGATGACCCGATTAGGAAAATAGATGTATTAGATTTGGCTTATGTTAAGAAAGGTAGAGGTAGACCTAAAATGACATGATTAGAAAATATTAGAAATAACCTTTATTTATTATATTTAAATGAGAATTTAACTTTTAACATGACACAATAGAGAAAAAGGAATTATGGGGATAAAGACTTGATGTTGTTGTTGTATAGTGCATCTTTTGTCATTCACTTACAATACAACAACAACATCAAGCCTTTGTCCCACTACATTGGGTCGGGGACAAGAATCCTTTTTCGCCATTGTGTCATGTTAAAAGTAAATCTCATTTAAATCTAATAATAAAATATCATTTCTAATATTTTCTAACCAAGTCTTTTTAGGTCTACCTCTACCGTTCTTAACTTAAGTCAAATCTAATACCCCAACTTTCCTAACCGAGTCATCGGAGGCCTCCGTTTAATGTGACCAAACCATCTAAGGTGACTCTCTCTAATCTTATCTTCCACTGGAGCTACTCCAACCTTATCTCATATATGTTCATTTCGTATCCTATCTCTAAGGGTAAATTCATTCACTGACAATGCACAAATTAAAGTACAATTTTCATTATCTTGTCTTAAACACACAACTCACTCTATATCAATCTACCAAGAAAGTTTTCATGCATGTTTCCTTTTAGAATAATACATAGAATTCAAAGAGAAGTTCAGAATGCAACATGTTTTCATAGGCAAATATATACTAAAAATGTCAACCAAAGTTCATACTAACCAAGGATGTAAATAGAACGGCATGCAGTAAGTTCAAGATATTGGTTAGAGTTCTTACACTCCAAGGAGGAATGGCCAAACATCTGACCTAATGCTTGGATCAATTCCCTAAACAAAAGAAAAACAATAAAATTACTCAAATGCCACTGACAAAACTATTATAAATCAAGTATTAACAGCACAGCACAACAGACAGTATAAACTACAGTATATGGTGGATAAAGGTCGAAGAGAGTAAGCGCATACTCTATTTCTGGCCTTCTTCAAAAACTTGATGCCACCATCACGAAGCCTTCCATTTGCTGCAAATAGACTATTCCAACAACGGCGAGAAAGTGCTGATCGTTGTCTTTTCCTTTGAGACCATGGGGATTTTAGATTACCTCTGAAAGAAAAAAAACCTCATAAGAAAATCTCCAAATTAGAAAGAAAGCTTAAGAAAAAGAAGGAACAACATACAAGCTTAGGTTTCGGTCAAACTACAAAATGGCCAGCAGTCGTTTAAGATAAATTGAGAATGAACAGAATATCAATACACTAAAAATCAAGGAATAATGGTTAATCTAGACATGGAACAGGAAGAATCATATATAAGTTCATAGTGGGTTAGTCTGAAGGACAGAGAAACTGAAGGAGATGCGTTAGAGCAGAGAATCTGAGGAAAAAAAAAAAAAAGATCTATCAGGTTGAGTCCTCGACATAAACTCGACGGTATGATAAAAATAAAGAAAATAAGCCTCCAAAACAGAATTTAGAGTAGCATAATTTTCTAGCAAAGATGATGGCAGAAGTTGAACTTCATGGAAAAGCACAATTTTGTTTGAAATCAGTAGCTATAAGGCAAGTAAATTAGGAAGCCAGTGAAAAAAACTACAGTTGCAAGTGATAACTAATTAGTGCGACACTACCCCATTAAATTACCTCTCCACAAAAGCATCCTTAGAATGGTTTAGATCTGTAAAAAACATCCAAGCTGTCCCACCGTGAACAAAGAAAGAAAATAAAAAAAGAGATCTTACAAATTGAAACACGATAAAATGAAAATCATTCTTCTCTCAAGAGAAAATAAGTCCACACACACAATCATTGCTGTTGTTCAACACAAAGCAGAAGATTAAACTACTGTTAGGTAAAAGGAAAAGGAGACGGAGTAGGACGTCATTAACATATGCAAATGAGATGAAAGTTCAAAGAAATTAACAAAGAACTTGCTGGTGAAGCAAAGAAGCAACATTCATAGAATAAGGAATTCAACCGTAACATACAAACCCACCGATCGGGAACTGTGGAAGAGGACATAATGAGAAGCGACCGCAATTGAATCCATGACAACGGAAGAGACGACGAGGAGGCCCGGCTTGAAGAAGAGGTGTTGGATCGTCTTAATGCTTTCATCTATTGTCTGGCTTCCTAACCCCCTATTTCAGAAGAGTCAAACGAAGTCTACTACTCTATATCAGCGTTTTGTTCTAGTCTTTTCTCCGCCGCGAAGAAAGCACGAAGCAGGCGGCGAGGGCAAGCCGGCTACCGCCGCCACTACCGGTGTCACCACAGTTATCACCGCCCACCCCCGCCGCCGATCAAGACCTCCAATCAGCTCCAAACTACCGTGGACCTCACAGAGACTTAGTCTCTTCCAGCGCTCACCTATAGCAATGGGGAGGATCCGGCCGGCACGCGGGTTGATGCATGCTCTCTCTCTCTCTTTCTCTCTCCAACTTTGGATCAGTAAAGCAAAGAAGTGGTCATGGAATCCGTGACATGTGACATAAATAAGTTTATCCCGTCAACAAAGAGAGACAACGGAATTGAGGCTGGGATTTTTTTTGGGGACATTTAGGTCATTTAAGACAAATTCATACACACAAGGCATTTATATGGACTCGAATCTTGAACCTCTTAGTTGGAAGCTTAGAACCAATAGGCCAAGGAGAGTTGTGTAGGCTGGGATTTTGATACAACAAAAAACATAAGTCTTTATCCCATTACGTGGGGTTAGCTACATGAATTTTTTTTTTCATTGTGTCCTATTAAAAATCAAATTCTCATTTAAATCTAATAAATAAAAGTCATTCCTAATATTTTTTAACCAAGTCTTTTTAGGTCTACCCCTACCTTTCTTAACATAAGTCAAATCTAATACCTCTACTCTCCTAACTGGGTCATCGGAAGGCCGCCGTTTTATGTGACCAAACCATCTAAGGAGACTCTCTCTATTCTTATCTTCTATCGGAGCTACTCCAACCTTTCCACGTATATGCTCATTTTGTATCCTATCTCTAAGGGTAAAGCCACTCATCCACCTGAGCATCCTCATCTCTGTCACAGTTAACTTAGTATTATGCTTCTCTTTTAATGGCCAACATTTGGCACCATAAAACATTGTAGGCCTCACTACCATCTTATAGAATTTTTCCTTAAGTTTGAGGGGTATATTTCTATCACATAACAAGCCCGATGCATTCCTCCACTTCAACCATTCAACTTGAATTCTGCTGATAATATCCCCATCTATTTTACCATCGTTCTGAACAATAGATCCAAGATATCTAAAACGTGTACTCTTATTAATGACTAGATCACCCAAAGTCACAATCCCATCACTAGGTCTATTACTACTAAAAAATTACACTCCATATATTCCGTTTTAGATCTACGTACTCAAGCGAAAGTCTTTATACTCTAAGGTTGACCTCCATAATTCAAGTTTACCTTCAACTCCCTCTCTAGTCTTATCAACAAGAAGAATATCATCAGCAAAAAGCACACACCAAGGTACATCCTCTTGCAAATGTCTAGTGAGAACATCCATGACTAAAGCAAAAAGATATGGGCTTAAGGCTGATCCTTGATGTAACCCAACCGAAATAGGGAAATACTTGGTCAATCCACCTTGTGTTTGAACACAAGTAATAGCTCCTGCATACATATCTTTAATGATTTGAATACAAGCATTATTGACTCCTTTCTTTTCAAGAACTCTCCATAGCACTTCTCTTGGAACTTTATCATATGCTTTTTCTAAATCAAGAACTCTCCTTATTTTCTCTATATTTCTCCATCAAACCTCTTAATAAATGTATGGCTTCCATAGTCGACCTACCCGACATGAATCCAAATTGATTTTGAGAAACATTAGTATCACGCCCCAGCCTATGCTCCATAACTCGCTCCCATAGTTTTAAAGTATGACACATTAACTTAATACCTCTATAATTCGCACAATCTTATGCATCACCTTTATTC